CTTCCTGTCTCAGAGCACATTTTAAGCTATTCACGATATCTCCATATTTTTGAGGGGTTCTTTTTTCCATTTCTTCTTTTTTTTTTTTTTTAATCTCTGCATTTGTCCACTCTCAAGTAGAATTTTAGATCTACTTATAAACACAAGGCACATTGATGAGCAATGAAAAAGTGAGTGAGACAAGAAGGAAAAGTGTAGTAGGAACAGGGAGAGGAAGAAAGATGGAGACAGTGAGAAATCAGCTGTCTCTGCTTCCTACTCTTCTTTCCCAGGTGATCCTTCTACCGGCTCTAAATTAATATCAAAGCCAGAGGGAGCAGAAAAAGGTTGGTGGGGGAAAAGAACGACAACCTTAGGAAAAGAAAAATCATGATGCAGAAAAGCGTCTGTCCCCTGTCTAATTCCTGCAGTGGCCTGTAGCTGATGGTGCTGAGAAAAATACAGCAGCAAGCTCTGACATTTCATTTCTGTGGAGAATTGAAAAAGGGCTTGCTATAATTCATCGCTTCTTGTAACTCAAACTCTTTTTGACAGGGGTACCTGCGCTGTCTTTTAACAGTGGCACCACAGTGGCTGTAATTGGACATGAAAAATGATGTTGTGTTTCTGCTTGCTGGGAGAATTGGGGTGGGGGTAGGTGGGGCAGTGGCAATTTGGTGTGAGATGGTGACATCTGGCATAATTTGGATGGGTTGGGTTTTGGCAAAAAAAAAAAGGAAGGATAACCCAAAATGAAGGGTATGAAGGGTAGCAAGATCACCTTGCCCAAGGTTTGCAAAGGTGATAGTAAAGGTGATATTCAGCAGAGATGAACATGCCAAGAATCAAAGGAAAATGAGAAGTGTGATGCACATGAAGTTCTAACTCCACCATCCACACAAATATTTATAGCATTTGTGGGAAAAGGACACACAAGCCCTCTTGCTGATATAGGCCTCTTCACAGCTGCAGTGGTGCTTCTTCCCAGCACAGAGGGGCAACCTGAGTCAGGCTTTTCCTGAGGAGCACAGTCCTGAATAAAACTCTGGTTTGCCACTCTCTTGCCACCTCTTTGAAAACTGTGCCCATATATGTAACCAGAGATCCAAATTAAATTATTTGGCTCTTGCCTAAATCTCCGTGCCTCAGTGGTCCTTAGCACCTCTTTGCTACAAAATTGTTGCTGAGCAAAGCACTTCAAAGTAAATTTTTGGCCAAATGGGACTCTGAATCATGAATGAGGATAAACATTGTCCTGATTTATAATGGTTTTATAACTATAGAGCATTCTGTTACCATAAAGTCAGACATCTCCATATTATGGAGAGAATAAAAAATTTTAGTCAGGTCTTAAAGGATGGTAGAGAATTTAAAGAGGAGAAAAATGCTTTTGGGACTAACAAATGGTAAAACAGTTTACTCCTTTCTCAGTGGCACCACAACAGGGATAACATAGAACAAGGAATCATGATCACTTTTCAAATGAGAGCACAAAGAGCATCCATGAGCAGAGGGAAGAAGGACCACTGAGAGGACAAGAGTGTAACACATTCTAGAGGAAAGCCTAACAGAGTCCACTCACTCCATCTACCAGTTCAGATGTTGGGTCAGCCTGCCCTGGGTCTTTTCCCATGTAGCCAAATCCCTTTTGAAGCCTTCTAGTGACAGGGTTCAATAACAGTTTACAGCCACATCTGTAATTCCACAGATCTCAGGTGGATTTCCTGATGGTATTTATTAGATTTGCTGTCTGGCAAATATTCTTTCTCCTCTCACTCTCAGGGTCCACCAAGACAGGACAGATAATAAAGATGTCCATATCAGTATTTCCCCAAACACTCTTCAGAGGGCTGCATTTTGGAGTATAAACTTTGGTTTCATTCCACTTAACTTATGGCCATTTCTAGATAAAGAATAAGCAGGAACTTGAATATCTGGATTCCCTTCTCCCCAGGCAGGTGTTTCCCCAGACTGAGGAAGCCACATTGTGCTGACATTTTATTTCCCCATTTAGCCCTTTTCTGGTCCCCATGACAGGTCCTTGCTCCCAGACTATCTGTGTAAAAAAAAATAAAAAATAAAAAATTCCACAGATGGAGAAAGGAAACTTAATTATTTTCCTCTCAGTGTTTCTCCCTATAATTGGTGTCTTTCATGTCAAGATGATCTCAATTTGTATTATGGGCTCTGTTCAGGCAGCACTTTCTCTTTGGTCTATAAAGAAATTGTCAAGTGTATAAATCATAGTGTACATTAAATTACACCAGCCTTTTACTTATTAATTTCCCCCGTTTTTCCTTCCTCTGTTGGATGTTCATTCCCTCACTCTTTTTTTTATCTTTCTTCGGGATTGACTTCTTTTTCTCACTCCTCAATCTCAGGAAAAAAAACAACAAAAGCAAAAACAAAGCACCAAACCAAACCAAACCAAACCAAAACAAAAACAACCAAAGTCCAAACAAATGTTTCATTTTTGTCAAAAGGTCTGATAATGTCCTCTGCCTTGTGCAAACTGACTTTATTCAACTCAAGAAGAAGGATGAAGCCTGTCTAATTTTTCTCAAGGCTGATCCAAAAGTTACTTGAGTTTATTGCAAATTTCCATGGACTTTGCATGCTTCAGATCAGTTCCTATGCGGGTACTACATTTATGAGATGTTCTTCATCTCAAGGCTGTGTCCTTTTGGACTCCAGACTTTGCCTCTCTGTAGCTGCACACTTCCCTTAAATTCCTGGCTCTGTGACTATTTCCCCTCCTGACTGCTTGGGATGCAGGTTCTGGCTGTCTTGGAGGGAGCACCAGGGACCTCTGACTCCCCTCCTCTGCCCATAGGAGTTGGATTAGCCAAAAGGTCCCCACTAGGAACCCATAATTTGTAATAAGGGTAAGCAAGTGCTAAAAGTAATCAGGTCTCAAGTTGGTACGTGGATGGTCAACACCAACCTGCTGCAAACAGAGCAGTCAGAGGTTGGGCAGCTGAGGGAAGCAGCTGAGTAATTTGGCTTCATTGTCCTGCACGTGAGAAGCAAGATGAGATTCATCTCAGCTAAGTCTAAATGCAAAGACATGATCAGCAGAGAGGAACCAGCACTGCAAAAGACTATACACTGTTTATGTCTCAAGCACCATGCTTAAGTGTGGCTTAAAGTAACACTTTCTATACATTTGGAGTTCTGTGACATAGAGTGTTCTCCTCACCTGTGTGATGTCAGATCTTTGAACGTGTGTAACAAGCAGCTGCTCACACGTGGGTGTAAAGGAGCCCTGTGGCAGGATATCTGTCCTGCTGCTGCTGGTTCATGTATCACCTCTGCCCTGCTCATATCTTGTGGTACCTATGGGAGCAACAGGTCTTTGCAGGGACAGAAGCAAGGGCTGATACAAGGCTTAACTATTACCAGATTCTTTTTTGGTTTTAGGCATAGAGGAGAGCAGAAACTGTTCAGTAGCATCTGTAGCCATTGATCCTTTTCTTCCAGAGTGTGAGTCTAACTGTAGTCAGTTTATGGATAAGTACATTTTCCTCTGGAGACAACAATACAGCAGGCTCTTCATCATCTTAACCTTCTTCATCAGGCTGCTAGGATCTTCAAAGATCTTCATCATTTTAACCTACTTGTCAGCCAGCTTGGTAACTTGTTATTACTAAAAATGTGTGCAGAGCAATTAGAATAAATCTAAGTTATTATGAAGCACTTTCAAAAACAAATAAATAAATAAATAAATAAATAAATAAATAAATAAATAAATAAATAAATAAAGCAAAAGTTAGGGGAAAAAAAGGAAAAAAAAAATAGAAATGGTCTTATGGTCTTACTGCCCAACTGTGATTAGCCACAAATAAGGGATGGATATTATTCCCTGAAGGCTTCCTGTGACATTCATCAGCCGATTTGTGGTCTGACTTTACTGTGAAGACAGATGTTAGGAGATTCCTATTGCCTTCTGACCTCGTGCTCCTTGTGATGCTTGTTTGAACTTGCACTTTCTTTGTTGGTTGACAAATCAAAAAGACATTTTCATTCTGCTCGGATGTGGTCATACATAGAAAGATATTTTGAATAGTCCATCTACATGGTATTGATTACTTTATGTGACAAGGAGTGTGAAGCAGGGAAGGGCTTTCAGATTAAATTCCTAGCTGGCTCTGATCCAATCTTCATCTCTGGCTATTGACAGGAGGGGTATTCCTTCATCCCTGTTCTTCAGGCACCCACTTCATCTTAAGCAGTGCCAGTGAAGAGCCTTGTGAGCATCTGTTGCCCTCTCTCCTGGGAGTAAACAGCTCTGGGGATAGTGATGGTCCCCAATGATTTTGTTGAGTGAGAGAGGGATAATTTGAAAAACAGAAAACCTATTCACAGCACAGTGGCAAGTTTTTAAACTTACTTATATTGTGATATGTGAAAGGAAAAAGATATCTGAAAAAGCATTAGAAGGAACATCTGGTCCTCTATCCCAGAAAATTCTCAGTATCCAACACTTCTGCAGCATGTGGACAAATTAGATCCAAATCCCTCTCCCCAAGTTTGAAATGGAGACTGCTATGTTACACATGACTATCCTACTGAGTTAACAGTAGAAGTGAAATTAGCTTTTCAATTTCCTTTTCATCATGCCAAACTCAAGAAATTTTTGGAATTTAAGTTTCCCTGATCCTGATGTTCTGACAAAGCATTTTTTCTCTCATACACCAGTGCTTCCAGAGGAAACTATTAGAAATTTTAAAAGTTACATTTAAAATTTCATGACCTGTGTAAAATGAGTCAGATCCCTCTCCCAATGTGATTCAACAAAGCCACTGTCAGGTAAGAGGAGTGACACTGATTTATTTGCCTCAGACCAAGCCGCAGCCTGCACTCCATGGTTAGTTCTTTGTTTACTAATTGCTTTCCCCCCCTCCTTGTGGAGTAAATTCTGGTGCTAATTATGATGCGCAGCAAAGAAGCAAAGCAAGCCTCTGTGTATGAATGTCTGAGTCCTCCATTAATTACGTGTCTGTCTTTGTTCTTCCTTACAGATGAACAGACCGATCCAGGTGAAGCCAGCGGACAGCGAAAGCCGAGGAGGTAGTTGACTGCATTGCTTTCAGCCACAGTGCTAAATATAATTGTTGTCTCTGGCTTCTCTCAGGCAATGTGCTGATCAATTAGTAACGTAATCACTGCCAAAGAAATTCCCTCCACAGCAAAGATTCTCTTTATTAAATCTCCTTTACTTCGTCTCACTTTCCTCATATTCAATTATTATTTGATTTTAAAAGGCAGGCAGGTGCCAGCGATTGCCTGAGAAACAAATAACTGCCTCGTTAAGAAGTGAAGCATCAGGCACTGACTTAACAAAGTTTAACAGCAGTGGACAGCAATGGGGGTTTTTTCAGATCTATGTCAGGCTGAGCTGTAGAGGTGTTTAATTTGGTTAGGATAAAGCAGATATTTTATGGTTTCTCTAGCCATGTTGTTTCTGCTTACACTGAAGCAACTCTACTTCTGGAAAAAGCAAATTCTGAGCTGGCAGAGTTTTCTGCACCTGTATCAGCTTATCTGGATAAACCTGTTGTGGAAACTGAAGACTTCTCTCAGACCCAGGGAGTTATTCAGGATTTGCACAGGTGTAGCTGAAATCAAGAGCTGGTATTTTGCTTTTCCATTCCACACAGTGGATTTGGAAGGCTTTGTTAAGTGATTGTTCAATAGATCACCAGTGATGAGGTGTTTCCTGTAAAAGGTTTTTTACCTGAACTGATGTGGTGATACTTCACCACACTTTTCTAATAGGAGCCTGTTTGTCAGATCAAACACACAGATCACTGAGAGAGTGTGAGATGGTCTGTTATGCTGGATAAATTGCCATCCTGCTATTTTTTTCTTGTATCTGTACATTTATATATATACACACGCATATATATAATGACAAGTTCTCTTCTTCTCTATCCCTATCTCTTTGGGGAAAGAATAGAGAGCCTTTTTCTCATCTTTTCAGTAAAAACCTCTAGTGCTTATGTATCAGATAAATGTGGGAGTAGATTTTGTCATTTAGTAATAATGTGGCTCTTAGATGTCTGAAAACTCTTCAATTTCCACCATAAATATAAACTCTTCTTCGTTTGTGAGATGACTATCTTTGTGCTGGTATTAGTGGAAACCTCCAGCAACAGCTACTTAAAAGGAGAAAAATGCCTCACAGACAAAAAGTCACCATGTTCTCTCTCTTTTCATTTGAAAGCTGTGGATTTCAGGGACTTTGGCTGCATCAGTGTGAGGCTGAAACTCTCCAGTGACTCATGTCATTGGAAGACTTTGTACATAGCTTCTAGTTAAAGGGCTGATGTTAGAGGCTGGTGAAACCACAGGTTGAGAGAGGGTCTGCAAGGAAAGGTTGTGGTGCCATATAATTGCAGAACAGGAGAACTGAGTGCTGGGAAAACACCAGAAATCTCAGGGATATTGCACTTTCAGAGCCCCTCCAAAGAAAATCTGGGGGAATTTGGTTAATACTGGGCAGAAAGTATCTGATGGGATCTGTCAAGTTCTGCATTCAAAGGCCAGGGCATATTTCTGACTTGCAACAAAGACATGTCACATCCTACAGCATTGTCCAGTGCTTTTTAATAGAACCAGGTCAATTTCCTCCCCTTTCCCTGCCTGTCTGATGATCTGGGTCTGTGTCTGAGTAGGATTGGGTAAGCCATGGGCAGTTGTCAATGCCAATCTCCTAGGGGAAAACGGGAAGGCTCAGCTGCCTGGGCAAATGAGGGGACATTATGCACATTCCAGTGGAGTTCGTGCCGACAGCGAGAGTGAAGGGAGGGCCTTTTGTCCATTTAATTAGACATACCAAAAAATAATAATTAGGCTGGCCAATTTGCTTAGTGCGCCTACAGGGTATGTAGCTCCCAATCTCTTCTCTCTTTTTTTTTCTTTTTTTTTTTTTTTTTTTTTTTTTTTAATGCAAATCAGTAATAGAGAACACATGCCTGGCTTTCTGGGAAGGGTTTTCAAACTCCTTTGCTAAGAGCAGCTGCTTTTGGGGGCAGTGGTTTGAACTGCAAAGGGCTCCAGTGGCAGCTTGATTCCACATTATCACACCCGTGGTCCCCTCCCCATTGTATTTTAGCTAATTATCTCCCCAGCTCGCACAAACCTCATCTTTTCCCATCCAGTCTGCTCCCATATTTCTTCTGTCAGTGGTGATCATAATGCAGGGGCCAAGCGGGTGCTCTCATCATTGGTGTGAAAGACACGTTGTCCCAATTCCCCACTGACAAGCTGCTTCTGGGCTGGTGATGCTTCAGGACAGCATGACTCAAGGGCAGCTGTGGGAGAAAAGAACAATTGGCACCCAAGGGAGGCATTGTATGAAAACTTACGTTCTTCAAGAGCCCACCGGTTAAAGCAGGCACGGCAAACAGAATGCTAAAAAGGAGGCCGTGTATCTCAGGAGCACATCAAAAGGCTTCATTAGGGTTGAAAGATAAAGGTCAGCCTAAACAACAAAGAAACTTAAGTTGTAGCTTATTATGCCCCGTCCGTGTATCAGGATGGGACGTGGGGGAGGAAGGGGGCTTGGAACATGAAGCAGCTCTTCCACACAGCACAAGTCCTTTGGTCTTCCCAAAGTCCACACTCTGGATTATGGGGAATACTCATCCTGGATTTAGGGGAATTATGGAGCCATGCCACAGCGTTAATGAAAAAATGCAGTAGTCTCTGAAACTGAAGTTTGCAGAGAGGTTTGTACTGAAAAAGGTGAGCAGCATTCTTGAGGAAGTGAGATTGTGTTTTCTTTGGGGACAAATACTTGCATTTTGCTAAAACATGAATCTTTGAATTTTTCAGCAAGTTCTTTCACAAGTAAAAGGTGATGAGAGTCACAAATTTATTCTCTCCTTCAAGCAGATTCAGCTCAGCTTTTCCTGCTCTTCTGGAGTCTAGATTTTTTTGATCTTTAACCATCCCTGTGTCCTAATCCTCAGTTGAACTGAAAGAGAGTGTTAGCATTTAGTGTGTGAGAGCTAGAATTTAGACCATCTAAGTTTGGAAAAGTGTTCAATATATCTTTTGTCAAAAATTACAATCAACCCACCAAAATGGATATGCTGAGTGCCCCTTAATAGTTTTTTCTGGGTTTATTATTTTGTTTGTTAATCTCCATATTGTACTATAAGCAAGACAAAGCGTGAAAACCTTTTAAGCAAAAACTGGCATTATTTACATTTGCCTAATCCCATGGGAAATAGAAATGAATGTGTCCTCGATATATTTCTCTAGGGAAATAGTCTAAATTACTGGGAAAAATTTGCATTTTTCATTCCTGCCTGCTTGTGCATGTATGTGCATAGTCATGATACGAAATGTTCTATAGGGGTACTCCTTCCACAAAATGCTTCATGAAACTCCAAATACCTAATCAGAAGGTCAGAATCTTTTGAGATTTTATCGAGACTTTAACACTAGCAGAATTGATAGAATACGGTAGAAAACTAACAAGTTCATATTTTGTTCTGAAAAATCAGATTGTGAGTCTAGCTCTATTAAGGATAGCTTATAAACTCTCACTGGCCTTTGTTTTGGCCAAATTTTATCTTGACTATATGGCAACTACTTTGCCAGAAATTAATTAATTAATTAGTCCAATACAGTTTTAGGGATGGAAGTTAGAACTCCACATTGAAATTTTGAACATAAAAAATCCCAGATAAGCTGTTAGAATTTGCTATTATTTTCGTCTTGGTGGAGGTGGTTTTCCTTGTTTCCTCGTCTGATATTAAGTTCTAAAAATAGCCTTCAGATATCCATCATTAAAGTTTCTCAAACTTGGGAGAATGATCTCAAGTCTGTTTTGTGGTTTGGGGCAAAAGTTTGGAGCAATTTCTTATTTCATTCACAATATCTCCAGCTCTCACTAGGCAACTCTCACTGCAGCTGGCAGGGTTAACCTATGATAAACGCAGCCCTGAGGTCCCACTACATTGTACAGGCAGTAACATTTTTTAAAAGGAAAGGACTCTCCTGCTGCTCCACTTGCAGTCCGTTAGTGATGCTTAGATGCTCCACTGCTCCCACATTCCTCTCAAAGGACAGAGGAAGGTCCGTGAAGGAAAGCAAGGTGTGCTGCCCTGGCTCAGTGTAAATGTCACTACCAAAATGTGTTTCACGGTGGTTTGGGGATCTTCCAGCATTTTATGGAAGAGAAACAGAAGGCTCCTGGACTAAAGAAAGGAAAAGTAGAATGTGGTTTAGAATTGAAAGGGTGTAGTGCCCTGCAAGAGGATGTTAAGAGGCTTGCAAGAGAGGCTGTGGTACATTGCATTGCAGTGTTTTCTGCAGGCAAGAAATCTGCTAAAGTTTCTGTCTGTGCTTTCAAGCAGATTATCTTTTGTGCATGTTTGAGGGAGGCATGTGCTGTGTCATTTTTTTGCTATTTGCCAGCTCGAAGGCTTGGACTTGGTGTTTCAACTAACTTGCAGCATTTTTCTACCTGTTACTTGATGCACAGGGTCTGAAACTATCTGTTTTGTCATGTTTTATTCCAGATTCAGAGCAAAATGTTCAAGAACTGAATTAGAGTTAATAGCAAAACAGTATATGTTGCTCATGCACAATGTTCTGCTTGCTTTTATATTCTTCCATCAGCTTAGTAATGACAATGGGGTCAGAATGGCCTGTCCACATTTTCTGAGGCAAATTTTCATTTGTGGTCTAGTTCTTACTTCATAGAGGTAGTTTCTAACTTGCTAGCTCTCTGCTGAAGGTGGCAGGGCAATCTGTCCTAGGGTCCAGTAACTATTTGTTAGTTAGTTGTCTTCCATTTAACTGCTCAGAATTACACAGCTTGTGCAGATGGCTGTAACCTCTCAGGATGTTTCCCATCCAGCTACTAGACAGATCCAGGCCTGTTTAGGTGCTGCAGTCAAGCAAGACTGGCTGCCTTCAGTTTGCCTTGGCTTTACACTTGTATAACAGTCCCACATGGAATGATTTCCTTCCTCCTGGGAAGCCCTTTGTAAAGAGTTGGTTACTCAGATCTTTAGACTGGAAAAAAGTCTGAAGAAGACATTTAAGGAAAAGAAAGGAGAGGGTAGTCTTGACAGAGCTCAGCATCTTCTCTTC